AACCAAATTAAATCCATCTTTCCTAAAGTTGCTCTGTGAGTATTTTATCACAGCAAAGCAAAAAGAAAAGGATACAGGAGTGGAACCAACCCTCTCCACCCTGAGGGGGAAAAAATGATCTTGACATGCCTGTGGGAAGTGGTTTGTGAGTACTCAGGAAGCCTTAAAGGTCTGTGCTGGTCAGTTTTTGTCAAATTTACACAAACCTAGGCAGCTCTTGGAAGAGGACATCTCAGTAGAGGAACTGCCTCCATCAAGCTGACCCACAGCTTTGTCTGTGGGACCTTCCCATGATTGCGAATGATGTGGGAGGCTGTCACCCACCTCTCTGGACAGATAAGTCTGGGAAATACTAGAAAGGTAGCTGCCAGGGAAGCAAACCAGAAAGTAGTCTTCCTCTATGTATGGTTCCTGCCTCTTCTCCTGCATGAATCCTTGCCCTGTCTTACCTCAAAGTTCAGCTACAGTCCAGACCTGTCAATCAAATAAACCCTTTGCCTCCCCATGTCACTTTTGGTCATGGTGCTTATTTGTTACAGCAATGGAAAGCAAACCAGGGCAGCACTGAAACCTCCAAAGAGATTACTAGGTTAGAGTCGATCCCCATGTGTTATTTTCAACACCAAATCCAAAGACAACGTTGACGCTTTGCCCAAAGATAGGGCACAGACTTGCATCCCATTCAGTTTTAAGCAAACACAGTTAGTTAAATCTGCAGAGTTTGCTTGCCTGATGGTTCTTGGGCACACTGGAGTCAGTAAGATTAGGCTCTGGATAGCAATTACAGCCGGCACCTCTTCCTTTTATCTCAGGAGACACAAAGAAACCGTAAACACCAATCCAGACACCAAATAAATAAATAAATAATAAAAAGTTCACTTCCTCCCCTCTGGGAAGAGAGCTTGAATTATTCTGCAGGTGTGTGAGCTGTGTGGTCTTGCCAAGCCTTTCCCTTCACTTCCCCGTGAGCAGAGGTGAAGTGAAAGTGTTCGCAGCCTGGCAGGTCTGACTCCTGCTTTTTGAGCCCGAGGAAGTCTCCTAGCACGAGCGCCTTTCCCACCTCTGCTCTTGAACCTAAAAAGAGCACCCCAAAGAATGAAGAGAGATCCTGGCTTCCTTTGGGAATTTCACACATTGTCTGCAGCAGCCTCTGAAAACCTCCCTTTGCAGGGAGGTTTGCCCGTTCTTTAGATTCGACTTATCTGCCCTGTGCGGAGAGACTAAACATGTTCTCTGAACTCTTGTCTGAGAGGGATGAAGGGCCGAGGAGTGTTTTCAGTGAGTGGAGGCTGCAGGGAGCAGGGCTTTATTTTATCATCCTTCTTCCCATTGATAGTAGCAGCTGCTGACTGTTCCACATGAAGTCTGTGAGCGAGCGTGACTGCGGTTCAAGGTGCGGTACAGCAGTACATACTTAAGTGCCAAATTCAGGAACTGAATGGGTGTTTTCTGCTTGGCTCTAGACTGTAATGTGAATATGTCTATGGCAGGTTTACTGAGGTCTCCAGTTAGTATTGATTTTTAAAACCCAAGTGCTAGCGAGAGAGACAGAGAGAGAGTGAAGCTTACCAAAGAGGTGCAGTGTCTTAATGTTCTAATGCTGTGAAGAGACACCATGACCACAGCAACTCTTATAAAGGAAAGCATTTAATTGGGGCTGACTTAGATTTTCAGAGGTTTAGATCATTGTCATCATGACTGGAAGCATGGCAGTGTGCTGGCAGACAGGGAGAAGTAGCTGAGAGTTCTAGATCCAGATCTGCAGGCAGCAGGAAGAGAGAGACACTGGGCCTGGCTTGAACTTCTGACACCTCAAAGCTGGCCAACAGTGACACGTTTCTTCCAGCAAGGTCACACTTCCTAATCTTTCTCAGGAAGTGCCACTCCCTGATGAGCAAGCATTCAATATAGAACCTATGGGGACCATTTTTATTCAAACCACTACACTCGGCAAAATTGTCCTTATAAAAACTATTTGCTAGCACAGACAAATCAGCTGTCCTGGGTTTTGCGTAGGTTCTTCGTCTTCTAGTGAGCTTCAGCCATTCATTCCTTCCCTCCTTTTGGTCCTGTGGTATCCTTTTAAATGTCCCAAGCACGGGGCTAGAGAGATGCTCAGTGGTTAAGAGCACTGGTTGCTTTTCCAGAAGACTTGGGTTCAGTTTCCAGCACCCACATGGCAGCTCACAACCATCTGTTACTCCAATTCTCAGGAACCCAATACCCTCCTCTGGCCTCCTCCATGCACCAGGCACACAAGTGTTTTACAGACTGACATACATGCAGGCGAAACACTCATACGTATAAAACTTTTTAGAAGTTCCAGGACCATTTTAGTATGTTCTGCATAAGATTTTGACTTAGTAGTTACCTTTATAAGTCCATTCAAATTTTAGAATTTATAAGAAAAAATGAGAAATTTAAATATAATATAGTTTTCATTATCTATACTGAGAGGACACAAAGATGCCAAAACTACTCTATTTCTTTTGATTTGTTAAACAAACAACTTGCTAGACATAGTGTGGGGTTATTTCTTTTAATTGCTATTGTTTTCGTGCTGTAGAAACGATTGTGTTAAAATCTCCTCAGGTTTTAACTATAGTCGTTACAGCTGACTATTCAACCGATCCTCCTGTCGCCTTCAGCATATGGAAATCAAACAGCTAACCTAAATCTGCTGACCAAGGAATGCTTCATTTTAGAGAATTCATGTGTTACCTTTCCAAATTCCTATTAGCTTCTTATTAAAATGGGAGAATTTACCATTAAGGTCACATCTCTATTCCCCCTTCTCCTTGTGGCTAAAGGCACCAATGTTCCATGTCATTGGCATATGCTGATACTGTCCACATCTTATTACAGCTTCGTCGTTTTGCCTGCCTCTCTCTCTCTCTCTCTCTTTCTCTTCTCTCTCCTTGGTTTCATCTGTGAACAGCATGTTAAGCTATAAGGTGAAAGATTTGCTCTATGGTTAGCAGGATGTGTGTGAGTGAACATGCAAACACAGTTTCTTCCACCCACCCTCGTTTCCTCCCCCATACACACACCACCCCCAGCATGTTGCTCCCTTGGTGTTTTGTGACGACGCTCATGGGGATTTTATTCAGTTCCATTTCGAATATTCATCTGGGAGGATGGGAGGTACCGCTTTTGCTCAGAAACCTAATTCACATTCACGTGGTACCAGAAATGTAGAGAGACTTAGAAAGGTCGCTTGTTGGAGGCACGTGACCAAGCCTCCATGATAATCATAAAAGCCTCTTGAGGAGAAGCTGCTGTGCCTAGTTCAGCTGTCTGCTTAGAATAATCATTTCTGGCTTCTCTCCCTTCACCTTTGCCCTTCCTCAGATCTGAGAAATGTAAGGAATGTATTCGTTTGTCACTCAGGTCTGCTCGCCTAGGGTTATAAGATAACAACTCTATCTGTACAGACACCCAAATGTCCAAGTTGAAAGGAGAGCAGGGAGGTGAACCATGCCATAGGCAGATTTATCACCTCCAAACCAAAACAGGCAAACATTTCCAAGATTGATTTCAATGTTATCTAAGAGGCCAGTGGAGCTAGAAGCTTTGAAATATGCCTACCAGTTGGAGGAAGAAAAGAAGCAAGCATTTGTAGTATACCTTCTGAAAAAGATAATTAATTTGCAAATAGGGGAGTGAGGAAAGACTGCCTTGGGCTTTTTCTGTGGTTTTGTTTTATCCTGCGTGCAGGGTTTTGTACATGTTAGACAAGTGCTCTCTCCCTTAGCTCACCCCACCACCACATTCATCCCCAACGGCACCCTGTGGGCTCCCTTCCCCTTGAGCTTTTGGGGAGTTCAGTCTTATTCTAAGAACTACAACAACATCCCTTTAAGGATGCCAAGAAGCCCTGGAGTGAGCCGTGTGTTCTTAGACAAACTCCTTTGGAATCTTGTAAAACTAAAGACAAATAAATAGATCACTTTTCGTGTGCTCACTTGGTTATTTTACTTTGTTAATAACTGCTTATATGATAAACTCTCAATGGGGAACTATTTGCAGTTTCCTGGACGGCTATCCATAATTCAAGATCATTTTTAAAAGTTTTCCCGTAATTCATCTCAGTTTCCCCTTGTCATCTACTGTCCTTCCGACCCCTGGCAGCTATATCAAGAGTCACAGGTTAATCATAAAGGGAATAGATAGGAGAATTAATAGGAGACAGCTACATCCATTCCAGTGCATCACCAACACAAAAGAAAACGGTGCTCTGGAGGCAGGAACTACAAAGAGCATCCTTCACATTCGTGGGGATAGATGCTAACCTCTTAGTATGAGATTATTTTAGTGAAACCTCAGTTTGTATAGAGGATACCAAAAGTCCTACAAATAACCGGCAACCAGTTCTGGGTCTCTCTCAAGTCTTAGGGACTAATCCTTGTTTTATACTGTAGAGTCTAATCCTGCTAATTAAAAGTAGACTCAACTATCGCGAGTTAACAGAAGACAGCTTAAGGCAAATGCCATCTCTCTGTCCCACAGTGGGTTAGTGAGTGCTGAGGCAAAACTTAGAAGAAAGAAAAGAAAACAAAGAGCCAGGCAGTGGTGGAGCATAGCTTTAATCCCAGCACTCGGGAAGCAGAGGCAGAGGCAGGCTGACCTCAGTGAGTTCGAGGCCAGCCTGGTCTACAGAGTGTTATGTGCTGTGCTTCATTTGATTGTATTTTTTCAACTAAGCTTCCAAGGATGCCTAGAAGCCAGTTATAACCTACATATGAGTTCATGGATGTAACTCAGTGGCACAGCACTTTCCTGGCACGCATGAGGCTCTGGGTTCAATCCCCAGCCCCTTGAAAACACAACAATACAGGCATTGCATACATGAAAAGCAAGCCAAGTCATGCACCTTGAGATGAGATCTGTTAACTCACTCAAAGGAAACATGGCGGTGCCAATACAAAGAAGCAGACTCCGGGATGGTTGATGTAAAGAGAGAGAAATAACAGCAGTGTTTTCTGTATCCTTGTCAACAGAACCCATCTTCTACTTTGGTGATGTCCAGTACTCCGTGGATGAGAGTTCCGGCTACGTGGAGGTGCAGGTATGGAGGACGGGTACTGACCTCTCCAGGCCTTCGAGTGTCACCGTGAGGTCCCGGAAAACGGAGCCCCCCTCAGCAGATGGTGAGCAGTCTGTTAAATTAGTCTTTTGTGTCGTTCAACAGCGTCCAGCTACCCACCGCTTCAACTGACGGAAACATTCCTCATGGCTTACTTTTCCTGAAATTATTACTATGGAGTGTGTAAATTTAGACTTTACCATTGTAAAGAAAGAGATTTAGGCACCATGAACCAGAGTCCAGGTTATGAGATTCAATGGCTAAATTGCAATGTCCAGATTTGCATGACTTGGTTCTCTACCCAGTGAACCTAAAACACTTAGCTGTTCTGACATTACCAGGGGAGCAGTCATACCCACCACCCTCACAGAATCTAAAAAACGTTTCAGCCTCTCCCCAGTGTGCCTCTTCACTTGGCGCCCTCCTCATTTTAACAAATGTCCATGTAAACACTTCAGATTCAGCAGGCTTCCCTCTACACAGCACTATGTAAACTGTCCTAGGTGACACAGTGCTGCTTCTTCTACCAGGCTCTAAAAGACTGATGACAAACTTTAGGGCAAACATGGGGCTGAAATTTTTCTTTTCCTTTTTTCAGCTAGCTGAATATGATTTCTCTCATATACACCCGTCCCTCCTGTGTGACTAGTGTGTGACATGAGCAAATCAAGCCAATGGAGATAAGGTGTAGACCTCAAATCTAAGCAAATCAGCTTATATTCACGATGTCAACAACCACGCAGATACCAATCTTTTCCGTCTTGTTAATTGAATGTGTTTCTCTGTAGTATTTTGTATATATGTTGTAGTATAAAACATTAACTATAAGTTTGTCAATATAATTAATTTTTTTTTATTTAGTCCCCGTGTAAATATCCTTTCCTTATGGTTCTAGCTGGAACAGATTACGTGGGAATCAGTCGCAGCTTAGATTTCACGCCTGGAGTTAACATGCAGACTGTTCGTGTTCTCATTCTGGATGACCTGGGAAAACCCATGCTGGAGGGAGTTGAAAAGTTTGAATTGGTACTTCGCATGCCGATGAATGCGGCCCTTGGCGAGCCCAGCAAGGCCACGGTGTCCATAAATGACTCCGCCTCAGACTGTGAGTGACTTTCAATTTTACAGTGCCGAGACTGAATGTGTATAAATGACAGGTAGGGTGTTAAGCTTAGTTTGCATTTGCTAAGGCTGACGATGCAAAGGGCCACAGAAGAGATGGCTTGAGCAACCGCAGCCTCTGCACTGATAGTGAGGAGCCTAAATGAGAGTCAGCAGCCTTGGTTCCAGCTGAGGCTGCAAGGGAAAGATGCCACAGGCCTCTCTCACTGACTTGTTAGCGGCCATCTCATCCCCCTGCCTCTCCATCATCTTCCCTCTTCAGACATCCGTATGACCAGTTCTCTGACATGAGAACACCTGGCATATCCGGCTGACATCAGTCCTAATGACCTTAAACTTGATTATCTGCCTATTACCAAGGTACTTGGGCTATGATTTCAATACTTACTTTTTTTTTCTTTCTTTTTTCTTTTTTTTTTGGTTTTTCGAGACAGGGTTTCTCTGTGGCTTTGGAGCCTGTCCTGGAACTAGCTCTGTAGACCAGGCTGGTCTCGAACTCACAGAGATCCGCCTGCCTCTGCCTCCCGAGTGCTGGGATTAAAGGTGTGCGCCACCATTGCCCGGCTATATACTGCAATATATAAGATGTTGGCGTGGGAGACACCATTCACCCCATACAAACTCCCCAAGTCTTTTCCTGCTCATTTTGATAGATTTAGACAGCCTTTAAAGACAATTGTTAGTCTTTTTATATTTAAGAAGCAGTGTGGTATTGTCATTAGTGTCTTGAATGATTCAAACATGACCTCACTACCTGCATGGAGCTGGGTGGCCATGGTCTTTTTCTACTTAACCCTAAGCCATTTCTGTCACTGAGCCACACCTCAGATTTCTGTAATCCCATGTCAAATACACTCTTGTTATGTGTCACTCCTCCTAAGGAGACCAAAGTAAGGATGCCACAAGAGTCCAGCTGGTCGGACCTATAAGTTCTGTTGGGGTCACTGACAAGGAAGAGAAATGGCTCAAAGACAGCTGCACTACCAAAGCCCACCCCTACGTGGGTGACAGTTCACAAAGCTGGAAACCTGGAGCACACTGCACAGTCTGCAGACAGCTCAACAGGATGGAGCGTGTCTCTTCTAGACAGTAGGGCTGGTCTCTGCCTCTTCCAGGCGGCTCGGTTTGTCTGGCAGTGTCTTTCCGCGGTCTCTATCGCTTATATATGATTGGGGAGGGGCGTGGGGAACTGGCGAATCTGGTCGGCTTCAGGGTCTTCCTAGAGGCTTTGTTTACTCCCTGAACTTGAGAAGCCTCTCTGCAGGGTGGAGGTGTTTCTCCCCTCAGGACACCCTGTTGTTTCATCGCCCTCTTTAGTATCCATGATCTTAGTGAGCTTCCTTCCATCCAAGCCGGACATTTTTCCTGAAAGAAATTGTAACACTAAAATCTCATGGCAAGCCTCTCTAAATATCATCACTCACTACAGAAATCTGTGCACCTTCCTACCATAAAATGGTTGTTGGAAGAAAGGAACCTGTTATCAATGAGGCCTGTGTATGACTGACCTGGCTTCGATGTCACCTAAAACTAACACATGCTCACATCAGTCAACTTTCTTTACCGTTCCTGCATAACATGTACTTGTCCTTGAAAGGAAAGGTATTGGTTCAAGACCCCAAGACCAAGCTGTCAGCACAAAGGAGATTTATTTGCCCCAGAGAGACAAAGGGCAGGGAATAAGAGACAGAGACAGGAAATGGGGACAAGGGAGAAGGGGGAGGGAACAAGAGAGAGGTGGGCATTGGGTATTTGTCTAAAAGGGTCAAAGGACTGCCTCTGGATAGATAGACAGAAGTGGCCCGTAGGCAAATGGCAGTTTATAAAGGTAGAAGGGGAAACCCTGTTAGGATGAGGTGTTTAATTTTAAGTAAGCATATTAATTAGGTGAGCCAAAGGGGGCAGAGGCTTTTGGTTACTGGACTTAAATACTTTGATAGCTGAACCTCGGTAGTCAGCCTCAGGAGGAGGAAGTGGCCAAATAAGGGAACAGACCTTGGTGGTTAGCTTTAGGAATGTAATCTGATGGTGTTTTAGCAAGGCAGAGAGCATTGAAGAGGACAAGCCTGCCAGAGCCACGTTTGCCAGGCCCAGGCTGACTGGAGTCCCTTCAGTTATAATGTGTACAATATTTCAAGCTCTTCATATCAAGAAAATTTTAAAGTGTGTGACCGACCACACAGCAGTTTTGATACAAACATCTGAGAGTCGCCAGTTTTGTCTATGTCTTCAGCTTCCATTGCGCATGCTTGAGTCTTCAGCTTCCATTGCGCATGCTTGCATCGCAACAGAGGCCGAGGAGAACTGCAATGACTCACAGGAATGTGAACTGAGCAGAGACCCAGATGCTTTTCTCATTTTTTTAAAAATCTTATTATCTACCTTAAACCGTATCACCTGAAATGTCATTTGAAAGAAAGGACGTGTCCACGCGTTTTGACCCATGCATTTCGTTTCTGCACAGTGCCTAAGATGCAGTTCAAAGAAAGAGTGTACACTTGCAGTGAAAATGATGCACGTGTAGCTGCCGTGATCTCCAGGAGTGGCGATGTCCAGCACAGGTCCTCTGTAAGATGCTACACGAGGCAGGCCTCGGCGCAGGTGATGATGGACTTCGAAGAACGCCCAAATACCGATGCCTCCGTTGTCACCTTCCTCCCTGGTATGTATGAGCTCGGAAACGTCTTAAATCTTTTATTAATTTATTGATTTGGGGTGTATGAGCACGGGGGAGGGGCGTGTGCACGCCACAGCTGACATGAAGTCAGAAGACAAGTTTTAGGAGTTGGGATTTCTCTTCCTCCCAGACCTTGTCTGGAGGATTAAACTCAGGTCGTCAAGGTTATGGAGACAGTGCCTTAAGCCCTTGAAGTTTCTGGGTGTAATTTAAGAACCCCAAGTGTGGATTGAGAAATAGGTAATCATGAAAAGAGAGTGAAATCAAATTTCCCAACAAGCTTGCAACATGAGCTTATGTGCACGAAATGACCAGGCATATGCATTGCAGCAGGTTGAATAGATATCCTGGGGTCTCTTCATTAACCTTTCGATTCCTAATGATGTATTTTATTGTTAGTTCAGAACTCAGCAGGAAAGAACCTATCAAATATGCAAATTTTACAAAGCTAGAAATTGAGTTATTATTGGAATGTTCTTAGGCAAAACTGCATCTCCTGCTTTTATGGTTTTTTAAAATTTATTTACTTTTATTTTATGTACATTGGTGTTTTGCCATGAGTGTTGAATCCCCAGGAACTGGAATTATAGACAGTTGTGAGCTGCCATGTGTGGGTTGAGAATTGAACCCAGGTCCTCTGGAAGAGCAGTCAATGCTTTTAACCTCTGAGCCGTCTCTGCAGCCCTTTACCTCACACTTTAATATATGTCAGTGCCTTCATATATCTCACTACTTTGTACTAATAGTTTAATTTTGTGAAATATATTCTATCGAAAAGGACAGACATGTGGAGAGTTATGCTCGTATTGATGGAGTATTGAGAACAACTTAAGTACTCAACAGTAAAGCTTGTTTATTAATATTTGAGCACTCATATGCTTGTATGTCATATGGCCGCTAATCTGTTTCTAAAGAATTTTTAGTGAGATTGGAAAAAGCTGGGCCTATAATATTGGTCCCAGTTATCAGAGGCAAAAATCCAACTGTTTTGGGTCAATGATTTGTTCAACAAGCCAAAAGTTAGTAACATGGTGCAGTGATATTAACCGGGACCATGAGCAGTGGTCTCTTGATGCACTTCCCCACCACAGTTCTAGAAAGTCACGCACAAAGCCGGCATTTCCTTTTTCCTTTGCTGTCCAAGATGAATGCTAGACTGTAAAGAGAAAAACTGCAGAAATCTTTATAAGTATGGGCCTGTGTGCAAATAGTCCCATGTTCAGCAAATAGCTATCCGAGACCTATTACAGACAGTAGTCTTTGCGCTGGCAGAGCAGGGGACAGCAACACCCTTGCTCTTCGGCTTGGTTCTCATTGTCGGTGTCTCCTTCTATCATGTGTCACTTGTCATTTGCTCCAGGTGAGACAGAGAAGCCCTGCGTCCTTGAGCTGATGGATGATGACATATATGAGGACGTGGAGGAGCTGCGCCTGGTACTCGGCTCGCCGCAGAGCAGCTCTGCCTTTGGGGCTGCAGTCGGCGAGCAAAATGAAACTCTGATAAGGATCCAGGACGACGCTGACAGTAAGAAGTCGCTGCCTTTGCTAAACAGTGACTCTGGAACTGAAGCCCGTTCCCCAACCCCCTCCCACCCCTGAGTTCCTGGGTGGGCGCCGAAAAGTAGCCCCTCTTTTTCAGTGGGACTTGCAGACAACTGAGACGTAAGAAAATGCCACTCACCACACCCCCGTGTCTGCGCTCTGTGCGCTGGCACCCAGTTCGCGAGCTTCAGACACACAGAGAGACTGTCCCCAAGAATGCCCCCTTATTGTGTTCAGAGGCAGATTATATAGAGATAGCCACGCTCCAGCCAAACCCACCAGAAACCACTCTCCTGCCATCAGGAACTCCTGAAGGTCTCTTGCTCAGAGTGCCTACTCAGATCAGAGGAAAACAAGTTGCTTACAAGAAATTCAGGATCTGGGGTCTCACTGCTCCCAACAAGAAAACAAGTGGGGAACAAAACAGCCCCCCACACTGATAAATTTAGGAGCTAGGAAGATGTTCAGTCGATACACAAAGTGTTTGCCGGACAAGCTTGAGGATGTTAGTTTACGTCCCCAGAACCCTCATAAAACCTGCACAGGTGTGGAAACCTGCCAATAATCCCCTACTTCATTTAGGAGGCAGAAGAAGCAGAATCTCTGGTGCAAGCTGCCTAGCTGAGACTAGTCAAATTGGCAAGCTCCGGGTTCAGCGAAAGACTCTGCCCCGGAAAATCAAGTGGGGAGTTCAGGAGGAAGACAAGCAGCAGCAACTTCAGGCCCCAGCACGCACACATAACAAAAACTAACAAACTGAAAAGCTGTGGATGTAGTTCAATGGTCATGTTCATACCTAACACGTACAAGAGCCCGAGGTCAATGCCAGCACTGCAAAATTTAAAAATTGAAAAAGCTCTTTGGGGTGGCTATGGTTTATGCCTGCATACTGAAGCGTAAGCCTTCATATCTGCCCTCGCCACTACATAGGTCGTTATGTCTACCCGGTCCTGGGCCAGTGGTTTCCCCTTCCACGCCCCTTCTCAATGGCATTCTCTTATAAGCTCTATGGGACAAAGAGACACCCCAGAGGACATGCCTTCTGTGGGCTCCCCGTTTCCCAGGAAGGATCGAGGTGTCGCTCACCAGCTTCTCCTTCTGACCTCGGCAGAACGTCCACTCCCACCACCCTTTGCCAGCCACTTAATTTGTCTCTTGTTTTCCACACTCTTAGAAGCCGTGATCAAATTTGGAGAAACCAAATTCAGTGTCACTGAACCCAGCGAACCAGGAGAGTCAGTTGTTGTCAAAATTCCAGTGGTCCGCCAAGGAGACACTTCAAAGGTTTCCATTGTGAGAGTCCACACCAAGGATGGCTCAGCCACCTCTGGGGAGGATTATCACCCAGTATCAGAAGGTACAGGTCTCCTGGGGTCTGTCTCCAGCTGGATCGTGACTGCACTGTTGGGGCTGAGACTGGGAGGAACGGTGGGGAAGGAGGGGTTGGAAATAAATGAGCTTTTAAACTACCTTAGAAAGACAAAGCGCAGAATCCCCAGAACTTTCTCTGAGGGAAATTTTAGAATTGCTGTGTGTGTTTGGAGCCCACGAACTGTGAGTTTTACTTCCGTTCTGTGGTCAGACGTTAGAGCGTTTATTTGCTGTGACTTTGAAAGTGTGTGCTAGCCACGCTGGACAGCTTCATTCAAACATTAAAAGTAGTGTGCTAACAGGAAAATACCAGCCCTGGCAGCCTCGATTCTGTGGGGTGTAGGAGCCTCTCTCGTTTTCTCCTTGTGCAGGTTTGGGTACCAATCCATTGTTTACTTCCAAGAGCTAGTGAAACAACTAGATGCTTGCGTTCTCTCTCTCTCTCTCTCTCTCTCTCTCTCTCTCTCTCTCTCTCTCTCTCTCTCTCTCTCTCTCTCCNCTCTCTCTCTCTCTCTCTCTCTCTCTCTCTCTCTCTCTCTCTCTCTCTCTCTCTCTCTCTCTCTCTCCTTCGCCCCGCCCCATCTCTCTGTGTTATTTGCTAACAACATAATCATAAACATAAATTCTGCTTATCAGCAAATGTTCCTGCTTTTCTGCCTCTTACCCTCAGCGGCCCCAGCGGCCCTTACTTCTTTAATCACGGCGCTCTGGGCATTCACCTTGATTTTCTGACTCATTAACAAAATGCTACAAGTGACCGATGGCTTATTGAGTCAGTAACAAAATTAGTAAGTAACATTAATAAGAAACAGAACAGCTTCTACAACAGAGCTTAGTTTCCCTTGCAGAAACAGTCAGTGTTATTCCCAGACTTGGAAGCTCGTCATTTGTAATTCAAAAGCCATGAAAACAAAACAGATTTTTCTACCCAATTACAAAATCTCAAGTCAGTTTTTCCTGTAATAAACAGATTTTACATGAAAGAAAAACTGTCGAGATGTCACTGTGTAACCTTTTGACGCAAATTATTTGTCTTGGAAATAAAGTTATCCTTTTAGTGAACAGAGAAAAATTATAAATATGTAGTAAACTCACAAGCAAGGGCAAAGTTAATCAATGCTAAATCCACCTGGGTGTCAAATAACCACTAAGCTTATTGGCTTATAATAAAATTTGACCGATTATTTTTCTAAAATATGTTTTAATTATTCATTTTATGATCTAAATTGGGGTCACGCGCAATCAAATAGGGAAAACATTTCCACGAAAGTTGACCTTTTGTGAAATGAAACGAGAGAACATAAGGCAGATGGGACTGAAATCTCATCAGGAAAATGCACATCCAGAGACAACCATTGAGATGTTTGCAATAAACTGTTTTAAAGCGTTTTAGACATTTGCTCTGCCTAACTGGAGGGGGCTGCAAAACTTTGAATGCTTACACATTGACGTCTGGTGACAGAAGTGAGTGAAGTCAGGGAACACGGAAAAGCTGGAATGCTGGTCAACCTGAAAGTCCACTGTGGAGAAAAGCCCACAGGCGCCATTAGCTGACAGTTACCAAGGAAGACACAAAACAGCTCAGGTGTTTGTGTTTTCCTGTGCAGTGCCCCAGTGTTTTTAATGTTAAAAAAGCAATTTTTAGAAATCACACCAGATAGATCAATCCAAACTGTTTTATAAAATAGCGTCACATTGCCTACCCTACACATACACACCAAATTTTGCTTTTAAAAATTTTAAAAACCCAATTGGTAGGCTATAAGTAATTAGCTATTCTCGTCTTCCTGTGTTTTTCATGGTGCCTAAAAAAAAAAAAAATCCAAAACTGTTGAACTCAAAGAGCATAATAAGGCTAGTGATTGGGGGGGGTGGGCGGGAGGGGAATGTATCCAGAATTGGAACAAAAAAAATTTTAATTGTGTTGGTTAATAGCTGATTGTTAAATTCCTTTGTTATAATTGGTGATAAAACTTTTTGAAGTACAGAGTGTGGGAAGCACAGGAGCAGTGCAGTCTTCTGCCATAAAGAATTGATTCCTGGCTGCAGACGTGTCAGGATATGGCTATTTGGAACCATGGTGTTTGTCTTTCCTCCTATTTTCTCTTTGGACGCAGTTTCTCCAAAGGGGGAATAACACCTTCAAATCAACTCATCTAGTCTCTGCAGTAAGGTCTGCTGCTCAGACTTCAATAAAACCCAATCATGGTAATGCTTTAACTTTTTAAAAATGAGTGCTAGCAACAACGTGCCCTCATGGTTAGATTGCGTTCCCGGGACAGCATAGTGGTCCTCGCTGACACCCGCTAGCATTCAGTCATTCCTATCTATGGTCCTGTTCCCACTCATTGGGCTTCATTAGCTTAGGAATCTGGTGGGCTAAAAGGGGAGTCTTTTTATAGCCCGACATAAAAACTGTTCACTGTCTCTCACTCAGCAGCTTCCAAACTGTGGACCAACAAAACAATTTAGTAAGTCATGGTTAGCATTTTCCTTTGGAGGGAAAAGAGAACAGAATGGTAGGAAATGTGAGTGGACCCTGGAGAGATGCTCAGCAGGTAAGAGGGCTCACAATTAGATCACAAAAACCTCAGTTCAAACCCCACTGCCTCTCCTGGCTCCCCGTGCCTGGAACCCTAGCGCTGTAGGAGCCAGAGAGAAACAGGGCTTGTTGGACCCCAGCCAAGGTGTCTAGGTCCAGTGAGAAACTCTGTCTCAAGGAATAAGGTAAAAAGTGATAGAATAAGGCGCTGTGTATCTTCTCTAGCCTACACACACACACACACACACACACACACACACACACACAGTATAGTACAGCTAGTAGCAATAAATTAGCAGTTTGATTTGATTCCCTTTACGTAACCACACACATGTGTGCACCAATGTACTGTACCCCAGTTTAAAATTTAAACCCAGTTTAAAATGTCCTTGTTATAAACCACTCCAAGAGCTCAGGTTCATTTGCAAAAGCTTAAATCAGTGACTTTGTATTTGTAGAAATCGAGTTCAAGGAAGGCGAAACCCAGCAGCACATCGTTGAAATTGAAGTACTCTTCGACGGGGTAAGAGAGATGAGGGAAGCCTTCACAGTTCACCTAAAACCAGATGAAAACATGGTAGCAGAGACACAGGTAAGTGAGACTATTAAGTCAACCTTTTTTTTTTTTTTTTTAGAGTAAATGCACGTAAGAAGTCACAGCAAAGGGGACTTGGGGTTAGAGAGATGGCGCTGCTGTAAAGAACACTTGCTGCTCTTGTAGGGAGCATGGGTGCAGGCCCTAGCTCACAACCATCTGTGGCTTCAATTCCAGGGGTTCCTATGCCCTTTTCTGGTCTCTGCGGGCACTGCACACACAGTGCACACGCATAGATGGAAGTGAACACTCATGCACGTGATAGAAAAGTAAATCCTTTTTAAAGGATTGACGAAGTTGTACTTCTTAAGTACTTAAGAGAGGGGATGTGCATGACCCCTTTCAACCACCCACGTTAGTTTCTGTTCTGATTGGATGGATATTCCTTTCTGTCTTTGGAAAATCTTGTTGGTGGGAATTCAGAGTTGCAGTTCCTGGGCCCCACATTAGCCCTCTTAGCCTTCCCGTGTCGTGACTGAAGGTGGAATTGACCGCCACAAGGATGAGGTAATTATTCAACACTCGTTGAAGCAGACGTATTTACCCACCAAACACTTTCCTGCGTGTTCCCCCTACTATGGCTAGAATCTGATGCTGAGAACTTGAGGTTCCAAGTTTTATAGTCGCAAAATGTGTTTCATACCATCATATGGCCTACCAGATTTTCTTCAAGATAGGTGCAGTCACCGTGAAATTTGTTTTTGCACAGTGGAAATAATTTCTTAACTTACATGCTGTTTGTAGGAAAAAGTCAGTTTCAACAATACTGTGTGTACGTGTACTACACTGCTTTCATCATCTTGTCCACTATCAATAAGGAATCAAATGGGGAATATGTTTTTCTTAAGTATTTTTATTATTCAGTAAAGATGTTAATTCTGTGACATTGCTGTCCCTTAAGAATTTTTTAACTTTATTTTTTTGTATTCGTGGTGGGAAGGGGGTGCCATGGAGCACACATGGAGGTCATAGGACAGCTCACAGAAGTTAGTTTTCTCCTTCCAAAATATGAGTTCTGGAGATCAAACTAAGGATGCTGGGCTTAGCAGCAAGTGCCTTACCCTCTTGACCATCTCCTCAGCTACATCATTTTAAGTCATATTTAGAACTCAAGATCTGCGGGTACAAAGTCTTGATCAAATGGATTTTCTGTGAGTCTTTCATTGTTTTTATGGAGTGACATGTGACATTCTTTACTGATAAAGGCCCTTGAAAGCAGAGAAATACCTTTGATGTGACCATGATTCAACTTACATTTCTTTGCCTTTACAGCGCTGTAAAACTATTTGTAAAAACGTTAATTCAAATTTACTTTTATCCTTATTCTGCAATCACGAGCTGCAACCCTACAGCCCTGTGTTTTTGGTCCATAATGTTCGGTAGGTTAGGAAGATTAAACACACTTGATTTACAGTATTTTCAACTCTTGAAAGTGTCAGGGCGATGCCTGAGAACTGTCCTATCAGTTATCAGCACTAGGAAAGCTGTTCAAGAGCCAGGGACATGGGCAGAGGTAATTTTCCTTCTTGGGTAGACAGTGTCCAGAGCTGCCTTCTGACTAGCTGTCATCTTCTCTATCCCGTGGTCCAGGTAGTCCTGGCCTTTGCCCACCTAAAGCTTAGCTTCTCCCTGGCCTCTCCGCATCACGAAAGCCCACACAATCCCATGCCTTTGAAAGTCTCACTTCTTTCAAGGTGTCTGTCAGTTTTTTTCTCCCACTATCAATTAATGGATTTGTTGTTGTTGTTGTTCATGTTTTTTCAACTTCACAAAGCCACAACTGAGTTAGCTACTAGCCTCACAACTGAAGAGAAAACCTAAGAACCTAATCATCTCAGGGGCTAGTAGCAAGCCTTTGGATGAACCACACAAGGCTTAGGTCCCTTCCCTGCAAACATTCAAGATGAGCAAGGCCACCAGGGTAACATGAAATAAGCTGTGTGTGGCCTGTCACTCTGCATGGGGTCTGGGCAGGACAGTTTCTCATCACCGTGATTCTAAGGATTTTCTAGTCATTTTTCTGAAAGAGAGAAGTTCCGAGAACCCGGATAGTTAACAAATCAGTGATCACTCTCCTTTCGTTCCAGGCAACCAAGGCCATTGTATATATAGAGGAATTCAACAGCATGGCAGATGTCACCTTTCCCTCTGTCCCTCACATTGTGTCCTTGCTGATATATGATGACACTTCAAAAGCCAAGGAGGATGCGGGGCCTGTGTCTGGCTATCCCGTTGTCTGCATTACGGTGAGTAAAAAATAGATCAAATTGGGAAAACTTTTAAGATGATTCATTTTTTTATGTGTATGCATGTTTGCTTGCATGTTTGTGCATGTCATGAGCACCACATGAGTGCCTGACACAAAGTGCAGAAGGAAGCATAAGATCCCCTGGAACTGGAGTTACAGATAGTTGTGAGCTGTCACGTAGGTGATGGGGACAAAACCCAGGTCCTCTGTAAGAGCAGCAACTGCTCTTAACCCTGAGCTATCCCTCTAGCCACATAGCACGACTGTTTAAAGTAATTATAAACTTTAATAAGCGTTGTCTTGGGAAATTTAAGGTTTAAACTTGAAGCTGTGAAAAACAGAAAATAACAATAATTGAATGACGTTCCCATTTCCCCCTCCCAAAACACAAACAAACAAACAAACAGAACCCTATTAACTGAGTTCACAGTGTGCGGCTTAAGACTCTGTCACTGTCAGGTAAACCAGTAAAGCATGAGCTCGGCACAGAAGGGGTTAAAGAACAAGGCCAGCTGGGAAAACTCAGGCTCCATAGCTTTGAGGCAAGAGTGTAAGAGCTGGTGTGGAAGTTCCAGTGTGGAGGACCACGTAGACTTCTGACAGTTTAAGATTCGGGTACAGGGAGATCATTCGGCGAAGGGCGGCTGTCAGGGAGAATAGGAGGGAGCCATTACAGGTTTTGCCTGCCTTCTCATAACTGACTTCTAAGTTCCCCGGGAACAAAAGCTGTGATGTGTATTTCTATGTCCCCGCAGCTGTAATCAGACACTCCACATATCACAGGCACACAATGAATCTTCGTCGGGGTACCAAGGCGTGAATAATACGGTGCTCCCTTACAAGGGGCTCTAAATGGCACCTTAGGCAACCTGGAATTCGTCTGTTGGGTGGCAGGAAGTGTTCTCATGCAGAAATGTTTGAGAAGAGCATCCTGTTGGGATGTTAGTGGAGCGGTAGTGCGTAACGAACTGGAAAGGGAGGACTTGAATCAGCTGGGAAGGAACCGTGGGAATGGGCACAGAAGGAATCAGCTTAAGGGACGTTACAGAGCAGAGTGGTCAAGGTCACCCGCCTGCTGGATGTGACAAAGGGAAGAGAAGGATCGGGCTCCCGATGGATGGATGTCTGACGGGCACTCCTGCTAGCCGTGGTGGTGTGACCAGCCTCACGGGACAGGGAGATTCTAATACGTTTTGTAGGGCAGAGGGAGAGGGGACAGAAGCGTGAGAGAAAAGGCTAAGTAAGAATGACTCTGGGGATTCAAGAGATGGTGCTGTGATGAACACTTCTGAGGTCAGAAAAGCGATCACTGCTGGGAATAAGAGTTCAGAAGTTCCATGACAGAACTGTAGCATGGCGGGGGAGATGCAATGGAAGCCTGGGGCTGAAGGAGCCTGAGAAGAATCAAGTCCACAGTCCTCTCTACTCTGCTCCTAACACTGTTTTGTTTGCTTTCCCCTAGGCTTGCAATCCCAAATATCCAGACTATGACAAAACGGGCTCTATTTGTGCCAGCGAGAGCATCAATGACACGTTGACCCGATACCGATGGCTGATTAGCGCTCCTGCCGGCCCGGATGGCGTAACCAGCCCTATGAGAGAGGTAGACTTCGATACCTTTTTCACGTCATCCAAAATGATCACGTTAGACTCCATATACTTCCAGCCTGGCTCCCGGGTACAGTGCGCAGCCCGTGCTGTGAACACCAATGGGAATGAAGGCCTGGAGCTGATGAGCCCCATCGTCACCATCGGCAGAGAGGAAGGTGAGAGACCGTTTCCCTGTGAACATCAGGGAAACACTGCGGTACGGCAAATACCTCATTTCTGTGTGGTTTTTGTTGTTGGTCTGATTTTGATTTGGTGGGTTAGGTTTGTTTTTAAAGTTTTATTTATTTTCAGTTTAAGTGTATGTAAGTATGCTTGTATGTTCCCATGTGTACCGTGTGTGCTCACTCAGGTCAGAAGTGTATGTATGTATGATTGTATGTTCCTATGTGTACCATATGTACACAGAGCTCACTCAGGTCAGAAGAGAACATCGCATGCCCTGGAACTAGAGTTACAGATGGTTGTGAGCCACCGTGTGTTCTGGGAACTGAACCCAGGTCGTCCACAATAGCAGTCAGCAGACTCAATCACCGAGCCGTCTCTCCCTGGTTTACTGTCGGAAGTGCTGAGAATGGAGCCCAGGCTCCTCTGCATCTGAGACCAGTACTCCACCTCTGACTTAGACTCCCATTCCACTCCACCTCTGACTTAGACTCCCATTCCACTCCACCTCTGACTTAGACTCCTCTTCCTAAATTAAATGGGTTTTAAAACTTGTAATGCACATTTCTATTTAAAATGTGTTTACTCTCAGATTAAAGAAGTAGGTTTAGGTAGCTGGGTTGATGGCTCAGTGGTTAAGAGCTTGTACCAGAGAACCCATGTCCAGTTCCAAATACCCACGCCAGGTGGCTCACAGCTGTAGGTCTGGCTCCAGGGGATGTGATACCTCTGCCCCCCCCCCCCCCGTCTCTCTCTCGCGCTCTCTCTCTCTCTCTCTCTCTCTCTCTCTCTCTCTCTCTCTCTCTCTCTCTCTCACACACACACACACACACACACACACACACGGATAGAAGTTATAATGCAGCCAAGCTCTGCGATCAGCTCCAGCACTGTTAAAACGCACACTCACTTCTAGTTTTAGTCTCCAGTAAGTGATATTTAATTATAGCTAGTATATGATACATATCTCATGATTCATCATATTGTTCTAGGGTAACATTAAGATTCCCTCCATTTGACTATACTTGGTTGGTATTGTATTTCACCCATTTTCATCTTATCTGTTCGCATTATACAGTAATTTTGTGAATATGTCCCTGGCATAAATGGTCATCATATATGGTCAGTCTGACCAGGAACTGTTGAGAGGTCCCCAAATGCATGCTGTGGTCACCTCTCACACAGTCTTTTCCTTCCTTTTGATGCTCATCCTGAGCCAGGTCTTAGGTCACGGGGAATATTAAAATAGAAAACAATGGCACCTACATTAAAGCATTCCTTATGTGCTGTCGTCTTCTCTTAGCATAAATGTGTTCCTTTTCTTCAAGGTCTCTGTCAGCCCCGCGTGCCTGGGGTAGTCGGGGCGGAGCCATTCTCAGCTAAATTGCGCTACACTGGTCCCGAGGACCCAGACTTCGCAAACCTCATCAAGCTCACCGTCACGATGCCGCATATAGATGGTAGGTGCCGTGGGTAAAGCGAGACCTCAGACACATAGACAGTAGCTATCCTGGTAAAGCCTTGGGAGTTGGCGTGCTTTGTAACCTGGTTGGTTTCGCTTCCTTAATCCTCAGTTTGCAAATTGACTTTCAAGTCCATCTGCTTCTTCCAACTCTTTCTACCTAGTTTTGAAAGTCTGTCAACTTAAAAAGCAGTCTATAAAATTAAAACAAAAATGCAAGTTAAAGGCAGACGGCTTCGCTCTGCTTCCCTGCAGGAATGCTGCCTGTCATCTCCACGAGAGAGCTATCCAACTTTGAGCTGACCCTCAGCCCTGACGGCACAAGAGTCGGTAATCACAAGTGCTCCAACCTGCTGGACTACAACGAAGTGAAGACCCGCCATGGCTTTCTGACTAATGCCACGAAGAACCCGGAGGTCGTCGGAGAGACCTATCCTTACCAGTACAGTGTGCCGGTCAGGGGTTCCAGCACCTTACGATTCTACCGAAACCTCAACCTGGAAGCCTGTCTATGGGAGTTTGTCAGCTACTATGACATGTCGGAGCTCCTGGCAGACTGCGGGGGCACCATTGGGACGGATGGCCAGGTACATTTTCCGACATCCGAGCCTTGCTCCTTGGACGAACCGGCTGCTTGGTTCGGTCCGTAGTTTCTTTAGTCTCAACTGTCGATTCAGTATTGGTAGCCTTTGGTCAGAGAGGGACAGTGGATGGGATGCCATCCAAATCTGTCATACAATATTAATATACAAGAGATGCACAAAGCCCTCCGGCCACACCATCAAAAGACCACTTCTGAAATAATAAAGACCAGAGTCTGTGCTTAGGTGATAATTTTTAAAAACCTAAAATTTGTATTTGAAAATTATAGCGAGTATTTGAACTAAAATCCTGAAATAACAAAAAAGTATAAGAGGGATCTATATGTTAAAGTAGTAAATGACATGCAGAACGAACCATATCTTTCCATATTTGGCCAAGGGCAATCTGCTAGAATTGGAAGTCCCTGAAGGTGTATTTCTAACGGCTATCCTCCTGCTGGTTCCGAGTAAAATAAAGGGGAGAGTCTATGGTAGCTGCCCATCAGTTCGCTCCCACAGTGAAACTGTGAAACTCTGCTATCTCAGCCATGGTTGGTGTTCCGTGGGTAGCCGCTCATGATGCCTGGAAGCTAGCGGGGTAGCAGCTGCTAAGACCTGCTGTTCTCAGAAATCAGAGGTGTCAGGAAGTCGTGTGAATTAGTGGAAGCCTGTATTAGAGCGTAACGTAAAGGCAGTGGGAAGTGGGGGGAAGGGCCTGGTGCTCTCATCAAGCTAATGGATGCTTGCCATTTGAGTCTGATGCGTTCTAGCTGTGTGTCTCCAGAGCTCTAGAGACATGTTACATAAAGCCTTCTTGGGCGGTAGTCCATTGGGTACTTCTTCCTCTGGCGTTGCCACATGAAAGGAAAAAGAGAAGGACAACACCACCTCAGCCTTCTCTCAGATCACACACCTTCCGCTTTTCCTCCCAGAATCTGTGCAGTCGTTATAAAATCCCTGTCTCCTTTCTGGCCGCTCCAGACACAGGGTCAGTTGACATCAGTGAACTAGGAGACGCCACAGGACGGCACAGTGGTTCGGTTGGGTCTCTGTCGGCTTGCTTTTCTGTGCTTCAGAGTGTCTCTGTGGGCCTGTTTGTAGCCTGTTTCACCCCCAGGAACATCTGTTGTCCTCCCCACAGAGTGGAAGCATGTCTCTCTCATCTTTCGTATGTCACTCAGACTGCTAGTTTTCCCTCTGCATCCCTGCCTTCTTGCTGCTAACGCTGGTTCTGCCTTTGCAGGCCAATGTAGTGCGCCAAGCTTGCTTTGGAGGCAAGGCTTGCCTCTGAGCTGTTTAATTCTTCATACTAAATCTGGGGGCTCAATGTGAAGTGTTCATTTAAGCTGATGCGACTTTGTTTCGTTTTGGTTTTGCTTTATGCTCATCGTTCTGTTGAATCATTTGGGTCCAGAGATGTTTCGTGTCCAGCAATCTCAAGTAACTGAAGCCAGGGCTGTGTCTCTAATTGAACTGTGGGTGATTCTGTTAGGCTGGAGCTGCCAGTTCCAGCCAGGTTTGTCTTCTGTGAAAAGCTTGTGTAACACACTAGGAATGAGAAAGAGCATACCCTAAGGTCAGTCAGCCAATAATTGTTTGTTTGTTTGTATGGACATTTTGCTTGATACCCCAGAGGCCAAAAAAAGGCATCACGTTCTCTGGGATAGAAGTTACAGATGGCTGTAAACTAACATGGGGGTGATAGAGTTTGAACCCAGATTCCAGGAAGCGCAAGTGCTCTTAACAACAGAACCATCTCTCCAGCCCCCAGGATATCCAGTTCCTAGCCATTTCGTGTAAGCTTTTTCAATAGATGGCCTACATCTAAGAATCCCTTCTGAGAAGGTTTTCTGCTTTTGTATTATTGAAAATCAGTCTACTGATGGAACCATGATGATCAACATCACGGAGAAGAACAGATTAAGTGTGAGCCACTGAGGTTGCAGGTTCTATAATGAAATTCTAAAACCTTCAGGGTAACCTACGTGGTAACAAGCTAGTGAAACACAGTGCTTGCACACTCAAAGGAAAGCTTAAAAATGGACCATCCCACTCACCCCTACCTTCTTCCTTGGCCTAAACTTTAATTTCTCTACAGACTGTCGACGCCTTCTTCCTTTCTCCCCGTAGCTCACATGCACACTGCTGAGCCATGGGTAGAGGGAAAAAAAAATGTAAGATAATAGAAAAGAAAGCTGGCCCTCCAGGACATCCTCTTCCCTTTCCTCCATTCATTTATGGATCGAAGAATGAAGAAAAACAGTCAAATGGTAGTTCTGAAAATTAAGATAATGGCACTGGGGACAGAGATATAGCTCAGTTGACTGGGCGCTTGCCTAATGTACATGAAACCCTAAGTTAGCCAGCACCACACAGACCAAATGTACCACTGTACACCTGTCACCTGTAGTCCCAGGACTCAGAACTAGAAGCACAGGGATGAGAAGTTCGAGGCCAGCCTGGGCTATATAAGACCCTGTCTCAACCAAAACTAATAACAACAATGTTGGTGAACGTCAGAATAATACTAACTAGTAAATTTATTGTTACGGGTAAGCCTTTCACTTTTCTAAACGTGTTGTGTATATCTAGTCTTTCTGACCTTACAACAACTCCATAAAAATAAATACCACACCCCGCCCCACCCACTCCTGATTACAGATAAGAAAAGAGAAAAACCAAAACAATCAAATATAAAAAAACTCAGGTAGCTTTCTCAAATTCCTCCAGTTTGTGTGTCTGTGCTTATCTCGTGTGCCCCTGCTGGTAACCCACCGTGAACTTATCCTAACGTGTAATTGACTATGAAAATGGATACGGTCATAGACACTATTATAAGAAAGCCAACTGAGCTTCCTAGTGTCCCTCAGAGATAAACATTACCCAGCACCCACTATGGAAACCATGTGCCAAAATACATCCTCAGCTGAGGCGATGAAATTTGCTAATCCAGGTCCTGGTGCAGGAGGTGCACGGGCCCAGGTGCTGGAGATGCATGGGCCCAGGTGCTGGAGATGCATGGGGATGCGCAGGCCCTGGTGCAGGAGGTGCACGGGAGCTGGTGGGAAGTCTGCAGCATGAGCTGCACACAGACAGCACAATCTGAAAGAGAAGCACAATTCCAGAGGTGGTGCTCAAAGTCACTGCATCCTAGAATAACTAGATTCTGATTTAGGAATCTCTCCAGCCTTATAAATGGTTACATTTCTGAATTAATAATTGGATAAACCAGTGACAATAAAGAACCATCAACTTGAGTGGCGGGTTTAGGGTGTAGGAGTGGCTCTGTGGGTAGCCAAACACTCCCATCAGCCACTCATCTGTCTTTCACTTGCCAAGAAAGTACTTCAAAGTCCTGGCCAAGCGCCAAACAGACACTACCTCCAGCCTCAGCACCTGTCCTAGACTTGGCACTTTAGCCTAAGCTAGCACTGTGCAAACAACTTTTACTAACCTGTGCTTGTGAAAGCTACTTTTGTGAAATATTGCTAAGTTGCTACCGAGAGAGAGAGAGAGAGAGAGAGAGAGAGAGAGAGAGAGAGAGAGAGAGAGAGAGAGAGAGTGTGTGTGTGTGATGTTTAAAGTTCTGTTTTGACTCACAGGATATTCTGCCTCCAGACTCCTTATTCAGACTACTTCACCTATAAGAAAGAGTTGCCAAAGTGAAGGGACGATTGGAAAAATCCAGGGTTTTTGTGTGCTGACAACAACGACCTTTGTTGACTTTTGTGCGTTTGACTATAGCTCTTGTCAGCTGGTATCAAGACCTCCTTATTCAGCTGTATATGCACGAAGTAGTCACTTGACATCTAGTCTGTACTGGGAAACATCCTAGGGACTGGGTGAGGACCCCATACACACCAGCAAAGAGGCTTATATAGGTCAAGTCATTACCCATTAAAAGGCTAAGAAGTTTGCCTCTTCAGAAAAATAATTTTAAAGTTCTTTAATCTTATTCGACTCTAAAACAATCTTTATCCATTAACCTAAAAAATGCAAAGGCAAATAACAAAAAAGAAAAGATACATATTTAATAAATAATTCTGTTCTACCTCTATGTATATTCCATTTCTGTTCTTGTTTGTTTTTCTTTAATTAAGGTTGTTTGAGCATGCAATAGAAACACTTGACGGAAGTTAAACTTGAGGTTTTTGGGTTTTGGTTGTTTGTTTTTTGGGATAGGGTGTCTCTGTGTAGATTTGGTGCCTGTCCTGGATCTAGCTCTTGTAGACCAGGCTGGCCTTGAACTCACAGAGATCCACCTGCCTCTGCCTCCCGAGTGCTGGGATTAAGGGCAAGTGCCACCACTGCCTGGCTAAACTTAGTTTTTAAACAATTGGAAGTTTTGGTGATTTTTTTTCCTTAAACAAGTTGTTTTTTGTTTTTTGTTTTGTTTTGTTTTGTTTTTTGTTTTGTTTTTTGAAAAGTAAAAGCATTCTCCTCAGCTTTCCTGGCTGTGGTTCAAGGCTAGCGTCTTGACTCTCTCGACTTCTTAGGGATGCAGCAGTTGGTCACATTGCCCAACTGGCAGGCCTGCACTGTAGACATGCAGCCCAATTACAGTTCGCTCTTACAGCATGAAATTGCAGTATACTCCTGGGAAGACAGACACTCTGCGGTCTGGAAAAGTGAACGAATATTTTTCTTTAGCTGGTTTGTTTAAGGAAGAATTTTTACCTCCTTTTTACAGGAGTGTTTGGTTTACAAACATGAACCCTGAGGCCAGAATGTGTATCTGAAGTCAGGTCTTTTTATCCTATTATTTTATATTGCCTTCACTGACTCTCTTATAAGTAAGTCATACTGTGTCAGTCAAGAGCAACGCGGTTCACACAATGTTCATGATGTACGTGGTTGCCTATGTTCTCAGATTTAGCAGTTAATTTTTGTAATCAAAAAATAACATCGTTTCTGAACTCGGGAGAACAAATGAAAGTCAACCCAAGCCTCGCCCATTATCCCACCATGATGTCACAAAGACCCATTAATCTCTTTAGTAAACATACACATCGCAATGGTGGCGTGGCGGCTTAATTTTTCTTACTTTATTATGTATGCTGCTTTATGTAATTTAACATGAGCATGTGCCATGACAGGGAAAGATCTTTAGAGTTATTTTTTTTTCCTTTGAGACAGCCTTACTACGTAGCCCTGGCTGGCTTAGAGCTCGCTGTATAAACTAGGCTTGCCGTGGACTCATAGAGATTCACCTGCCTCTGCCTCCCAAGTGCTAGGATTAAAGATGTGTACCCCTATATCTGCCAGACTCATAACTTCATGGCTCCATGATGTTCCCCTTTTGTGTGTTTTATCATAACATCCTCAGCCATGTATTTATGTTGTTCATTAGGTTATCTATAATCCTATATAGCAAGCATCCCTTGAAGTTGTCCTTCATCGTACAAATTAGTGGCTCGATATTGTTGCCTACCTAGGGTCTGTGTCTTCCTCTCTGATTTGCCCACCTACAGAAGAACTGTGATTGGGCAGAAGCCGAGGTCTCCTTGCTCCTAAGCACTCTTGGGTGTTACTCAGAGAATCTGGCTGAGGATTTGGAATGATCCCCTCAACTGAGCAGCTAGCTGCATACTAACTATGAGACTTGAAACATTATTTTTTTGATGGGTGATGTTTTACATAGTCACCAATACCTCCATCTTGGTAGATGTTTGAGGCGATAAAAAACCAAGAAAAACACATCACAGTGGGGGTCATTCCCCACCAGTGACATCCCTGAGCAAGAATTCTAACAACTCTGTCTGTGTTCTGTCTTTCAGGCAGATACAAACCACACATACTGCATTAAAGAGCCATATACATGGGCTGGCAAACAAATTTTCAATGTTTTTTTGTTTCTAGTGTATGTGGCCTAACTAAAAACCCTCAGATATGGGGATCTATATCTGTGCTGTCCGGTGTGATCGCCGTCATCTCTGTGTGGCACTGAGTATGGGACTCTAGAGCCGTGTGGTCCAGCATGGTAGCCATCAGCTATGTGCGGCTAATGAGCCTTGTAAATGGAGACCGAGTGGCCAGCCTCTGTATATGTATAATGCCACATATGACATTCATCCCCGCCCCTACCCATCTCACACGCAGAGAGCCCCCTGCCTCAGGCCCTTAGGCAAACAATATCCTCTCTACATAATATGCTTGGCATTTGGTTGCATAATATAAATTTGACGGTGTGTGTTACTTTCTCCAGGATATTTGCTCCCTTTAAATATAATCTTAAAATTGCTATCCGCCTCTCTGTTAATTAGCTTTAAATGTCAACAGGGGTTATGTCAGTTCACTAATTGGGCCTCAGATGATTTATGTCTTTAAAGGTCCCCGAGGTTAAGGTTAAAAGAAATGGAATGCTCCGGAGAGTGGCGTCGGAAATTAATGGTTGCATTACAGTTTTTGGTTGAAGAAACAGGCAGGTGACTGAAGGAGTGAAGTCGGGTCCATTCAGTTCCTGTCTCCTCCAGGCAGAGGTTCGTGTGTGTGACTGGAAGACTTTGTTCTCAACTCTATGACAGTGTGACTTATCATGGTACAGCCATTCTTATGACTGTATGTCTATTCCCTCTGTCAGTTCTTTGTGGGACATCGGTTCCAACAACCTGATTGGAACGTCCAAGAAGAGTCAGCTGATGATGCCTTCCTGCACGGAGAGGCAGTGTGATCGCCACCCTGGTCCCTTAGAGCATTTGGAGATTAAAATGCAGTCATTTCAGTTAGGTGGTCTCAGGGCTGCTCTGCATTGTATGGAGTATACTAAAGCATGGGAGAGATGAACATGGGCTAGAATCCAGGTCCAAATTCCATAGGCCACTCAGGAGGTTCAGAGACTTCTGATGGGGGGGGAGGGTGGAGAGATGGAGAGGTGGCCAGGTGGTTAAGAGCACTGGCTGCACCTGCAGGCTTGAATTCACAACACCCACATGGTGGCTCACAACTGTCTGTAGCTCAAGTTCCAGGGTATTTCATGCTTTCTTCTGACGTCTGTGAGCACCAGGCCCGTACCATGTGGTACACATACATACATGCAGGCAAAACACTCATATATATGAGATGAAAATAAGTTTTCAAAAATTTTGGTGAACTTGCCTAATTTCTCTGAGTCTTCGTTTTTCTACCTCTTTGCTTTTAGTCAGCATCCATCTATCCATCCATTCATCCACCCACCCATCCATCCATCCATCCACCCATCCATCCATCCATCCATCCACCATCCACCCACCCATCCATCCATTCATCCATCCATCCATCCATTCATCCACCCACCCATCCATCCATTCATCCATCCATCCACCCATCCATCCATCCATCCATCCATCCACCCATCCATCCATCCATCCACCCATCCATCCATCAAACCACCTTGCATACGTACATTTATGAGAATGAAAATATTAAATAGCTTTCACCAGTTACCAACAGGTTGTCTGAAATGTGGAAGATACTTGACAGGTGTCAATTTGTCCTCTGGACCTCCTTTATCCCACTGTTGAATACCAAAAGAAAGAAAATATAAAATTCTAAGACAGCTTATTTAAATTGTTTTGAAATATCCTAACTGCACCATGTCATTGTTAAATACGTTTGTTTTTAAATCTTTATGTTCTTCCTAACTTCCTCTATATGATTAAAAAATAGTTCATAAGCCGGGAGGTGGTGGCGCACGTCTTTAATCCCAGCACTCGGGAGGCAGAGGCAGGCGGATCTCTGTGAGTTCGAGGCCAGCCTGGTCTCCAGGACAGGAACCAAAAAGCTATGGAGAAACCCTGTCTCGAAAAACCAAAAAAAAAAAAAAATAGTTCATAGACACATCTTTGCATAGGAGTTCTAAACACACACCATTCCTCTGATGTGGATCAATAAAATGGAATATATCTATATATCAGCCTGTTATCCCTTAGTAAAAGGCAGAAATGAACAGGAATAAGGGCAACTGACAAGATTCATTTCTACATGATCAGAAGAGGCAAATACAGGGCGTGGATTAGCAGCCACCCAGACCGTGCGGAGGGTGACTTCCCCGGGCACTAGATTCCTAAAGTTGATTGTGGTGGTGGTTGCTTTATTCACTTAAATGGTAAATTGTGTGGTATGAGGCCTGTACCTTGACAAAGCTGCTGTTCTATGCTGCTGAAAACAGTGTTTATTTTAGGGAAGGCTAGTGCGTATCCCTGCTGCCCGTGATAGTGGTAACACTGTCAGAAAAACAGCGCTGGGAAAGGCTGTCCTTTATGTTCTTCACTGATGGCACAGAATCTTCAGCGATGGGAAAAGAGATGGTTTCTGCCAGATTGGGCTGGTTTGCTTAACACTGATGGGAATGATTTCATCGTTTTAGGTCCTGAACCTAGTGCAATCCTACGTGACCCTTCGAGTTCCTCTGTATGTCTCCTACGTGTTCCATTCCCCTGTCGGGGTGGGAGGCTGGCAGCATTTCGACTTGAAGTCCGAGCTCCGCCTCACGTTTGTGTACGACACTGCCATCTTGTGGAACCATGGGATCGGCAGCCCGCCCGAAGCTGAACTCCAAGGTGGGTTGGTGTGACTCCTAACGTAACTCTCTTACCTATGGCAATGATCCAGGAATTTTGTTTTTCTCTTAGGTAAAAATAATGGGAGCACCTTTTAATACATTTTATTTCTATATTCATCAATAATGTGACTTTTTTAAACCTTTGGCATGCATGGAAAACTCTTGTTTAACAAAATCATATCAATGCCTCAAACTCTGCATTGTGTGTCTACGAAATTTAATTTATTTCAGGCATATCCCACTCCATTTTAAGTGACTAATTTTTATATTTTACATAGTGAATCCATATAGCTTCCTGGCTTTTACCAGATAGAGAGAACGGAGTGGAAAATTGGGTGTAAAATCAAGGAGTACAGTTGCACATTTTGCTTCCAAAATGAGAGGATCAATTTATAGTCCAATGATAAACCGTGTCCTGGGTTCTAGTTCCGACACTACAATTAATTTATTGTGATCTGTGTCATCTCAAGCACATTGCTTAAACTTGGGGGGCAGGTAATTTCCTATGAAGGGTGCATAAAGCTTCTTTGCTTTCTGGTTTGAACTCTGTCACCCTGTGATACCTTAGGCAAATGTCCTACAGCAGAGGCATGGGGAGCTCCTGACTGTAGGCCCTTAACCACCTGCAGATCTGCCGGCACCCATGTGGAAACTGTAAAGTCCAGACACTCACCAGGGCATGTGGCTCACACCTGTACTCCCAGCATTCAGAGGATGAAGCAGGAGGGTAGCTGTGGTCTGAGGACAGACTAAACCACTTAGTGTAAGACTGGGTCTCAAAAAAAAAAATATTAGTAAGCAAAAAGGAAGGCAAAGCCACCGGTGTCAAACTAACCCATGAACAGAGTTTGTGGACTTTTTTGTCAATAGTACAGCTGAAGTATAATTCCATCGTATGGGACAGATTAAAATCCCCTTAGCACTATGGGGAAATTGCAGTGGCCACCAGATTATATCAACGGTTTTCACTCTACATCTGATTTTAGAAGATGCCTTTAAAGTTAGTACCTCCCCAGCTCTCTCTTTTAGGTGGAGGTGTGGGGGTTGGGAGGATCATACCAGGCTGGCCTGGAATTCACTGGGTAGCCCAGGCTGGCCTCATATTCTCTCTCCTACCTGTAACTCTTCAGTATTTGGAATCTCCAGTTGATTTTTTCTCAGCTTGTTCATCTGGCAAGGGTGCTGGTGGAGAATCACCAGAGTTTTCTCTAAGCCCATAAATTTTGCAGTTGTTCTGGGAGCCCGAACCAGTTTCCACACACCTGTCTCAATCTCTACGGTGTCAACAGGGACATTTGTTTGTCATTTCTATTAAATTACAGGTTGGTTTTTTTGTAAACTAGAACTGTAAAAAAAAAAAAGTATCAGAGGCATCTGTGTATTTTATGACATGACTTACATTAATTTATTTTACCCCCATTATCCTTATAAAAGAAAGAAACTTGTACCATTTATTATTATTATTATCATCATCATCACCTAGAATTCATCTGATAATATCTGCTCATAGAAAGTTTAAAGAATGTAGTGGTATATTACCTGTATTTTGATAAAGAAATCTTGCCTGAAGATGAGAGGTAATTGTGACATATTTGGTGCCCAATCTTGGGCTTGAATCCACGACCCTGAGATTAAGAAGAGTCCCATGCTCTCTCTCCTCTCATTTTATATTCCCTCTAGTGCTGGGATTAAGGGTATGTGACTCCCTAGTACTGGGATTAAAAGTGTAGGCCACCACTACCACCTGGATTTGTTTCTGCACTGATCTTGTGTAACCCAGGGTAGCCTTGGACTCACAGAGATCCATCTGCCTCTGTGTCCCAAATCCTGGGATTAAAGGTGTATGTCACCATTGCCTGACCTCTAGTGGCTTTAGCTTTGCCTCTGGTCTTCGGGCAAGATGTATTTATCGAAATACAAATAATATACTACTACAAAAGATTTCCATTAGACCACATGTGCCAGAAAAGAATCTGTACATCAGGGTCTCCGGCCACCTGTATTTTCACCCTCGTGTGCGTTCTGTAGGCTCTCTCTACCCGACCAGCATGCGCATCGCTGAGGACGGACGCCTGGCTGTGAACTTCAAGACGGAGGCTCAGTTCCATGGCTTGTTTGTGCTGTCACATCCTGGTAAGTCCTGTTGTCAGGGAGCTGTCCCCTCCCACCCAAGCACATGTACAGCTTCCTGTCCGCACAGGTCTCAGTATGCTTGCTGGCTGGCTCTGAAGCTCTTCGTTTCAAACGAGTTCACTCTGTGTAGTTACATCCTTTATGCTTGGTCACCGTTCATCTCTGTCTTTTTTTTTTTAAGATTTATTTATTTTATGTATATGCGTGCTCTTTCTGCATCTACACCTTTGTGCCAGGAGAGGGCACCAGATCTCATTACAGATGGCTGTGAGCCACCAGGTCGGGGTTGGGAATTGAACTCAGGACCTCTGGAAGTACAGCCGGTGCTCATAGCCACTGAGCCATCTCTCCCTCCCTCATCTCTGCCTTATATTGGAAAACTATCGCTATGCGAGCTTTCACAACTGTCCTTCTCTGTGCTTTGTTGCTATGATGCCTCATTTCCGTCGATTCATTTGGCCAGCGCTTCTCTGCTCAGTTTTTCTTCTAGGTCTACGAGGAACCTTTGAGTGGAGGCAGAACAGGTGTTTTGCTTTCGTGCTTAAGTTTCAGACATGTGAGCTGCAATTGACAGAGACTGGCTCAGCAGTGACTGCCTGTGCATTGAATATTGATAAAATATGTCAGTATGTCAATAAGCTCATATCTGTTCGTTTTACAAAGGTTCCGTAATTAGAAATGGTTTGGTTTTTTTTTTCTTTGACTTCCCACGTTGCCCAGCTGGTTTCCCGTGTTACTGCAAGGCAGCTTCTGTCGGGTTGGAAGTGGAAGCTGTCCACTGGCTAGCTTCACAGTCAGCCTCTTCCCGGGCATGAGTTCTAACTAAGGAAGGAGAGATCAGCTGAATGAGCAAGAAGAAAAGAGAACCCCTTGTAATTTATTAAACAGATTAAGCTGTAGGAAATGGGGACCCAAAGGGGATCATATGGCCTCGTTGTCATGATGAGTTCTGGAAAGCGAGGGTGTCCTGGACTTTGGGGTGTCTTCTAAGTGCCCACCTCTCTAATGGCCTGGCTCTGTGATTAGATTAGACAGGCAATCTAATTAGAATTACAGTTCATTCGTAAGACGGCTTGGCTAATGGAAAGTTCTGCACCTGGCTTTGGTGTGCTATCCCAGTGTTCGCTCAGCCCGGGTTGCTGCACGGACTCCCTGGAGAAGCCCTGAGTCTACCTTTTGGCCAAATTATATAGATCAGAAATACAGCAAACGAGGAGTTCAAAGTCGCACAGCCTATCTGGGATCTTTGGAGTGTCCCCATAGTCATTCTCTGCCCAGGGCTTTTATTGTTGTTTTGTTTTTTTTTTTTTCCATTTTGCAATGCAGATTAACATACCAACCTTAAAGACTTGTAAGAAAAAAGTAAATCCGAGGTGATATGGTACTTCAAAAACTACACGGTTGTGGACTTTCAGTTTAACCTCCAAACCACTGTGACTTCTGGTATTTTTTTTTTTCAGCTTCCTTTACCAGCTCAGTGATCGTGTCTGCTGACCATCCAGGCCTCACCTTTTCCCTTCGCCTCATCAGGAGTGAGCCAACCTATAACCAGCCGGTCCAGCAATGGAGTTTTGTGTCAGACTTTGCGGTAAGTGTCTCCAAGGCCTTTCTTTCTCTGCTGCCTTCTGATGACACTACGCATTTCAAACAGAAAATGCCTTCTCTCCTCTTCAAAGGTTCGTGACTACTCAGGCACATACACGGTCAAATTGGTGCCCTGCACCACCCCACCCAACCTGGAGTACCGGCTGCCTGTCACCTGCAACCCGCGAGAACCTGTCGTCTTTGACCTTGACATCCGATTCCAACAGGTACCTGTTGCAGAACTATCCAAATGGAATCCACTTGGTTCAAAGTCGTGATTTTCTTTAATCAATACATATGTTTTTCACAAGTGGGTGACTTAATTCTCAAATACTAAGAGAGAAGGAAGTTGGACAGGAAGGAACCAAGAGAGAAAAGGAACTCTATTTTGTCTGTTTTTATTTCTAACATAAAAACCATAATCTCAGTTCGTGGAAGAACTATTTAGATGTTATCTGATCTTATGTCTCTCCTGCAATGTGCTGTCTTGGAGTTGTGACAATTTCCCATATAATTCTACACTTCACCATGTTCTCAGTCTTCAAGGACAATGGGAATCCACCTCTTAATACATAACTGACCTTATGTACTGGTAAAAGTCGAATACCAGTCTTAATTCAAGAACTTATACTGTTGGCCTCCTGATGACCATGATACTTACAAACACTTTACATATATGCCCTGATCAACCTGTAGATACAAGAGCAAGTGACACCACTTACCCTCACTCTAAAAGAAGAAATGGTTTCACGTCACCAGTTTTATTTCTCAATAGCAAAATTGGAACGATAGCGCCTTAAGCTACTTTGGATGGATAACTACATTTCAAGGACGGGTTCTGCTTGGCAGTGTGAGATGATCGTGTGCCTATGAGCAGGGTGGTGCGTGCCTAGACACATCAGGGCCACCAGTAATAAAAGGTTTCCCCTTTGGCGTAGGTCAGCGACCCAGTGGCAGCCGAGTTTAGCCTGAACACACATATGTATTTGCTGTCTAAGAAGAGCCTTTGGTTGTCCGATGGATCCATGGGATTTGGGCAAGAGAGTGACGTTGCTTTTGCAGAAGGTAACACTTACCAGATGAGATGATGGTTCTGTTGTTCTGTGTGTCTGCAACGCCTGCTTGTCCTATGTCTGTGATGTTCTGTGTCCTGCGTGTCTGTGTTGGTTGTATGTCCTATGTGTCTGTGATGTTCTGTGTCCTTTGTGTCTGTGATGTTCTGTGTCCTGTGTGTCTGTGACGTTCTGTGTGTCCTGCATGTCTGTGACGTTCTGTGTCCTGTGTGTCTGTGATGTTCTGTGTCCTGCGTGTCTGTGTTGGTTGTATGTCCTATGTGTCTGTGATGTTCTGTGTCCTGTGTGTCTGTGACGTTCTGTGTGTCCTGCATGTTTTTGATGTTCTGTGTCCTGTGTGTCTGTGATGTTCTGTGTCCTGCGTGTCTGTGATGTTCTGTGTCCTGCATGTCTGTGACATTTTGTGTCCTGTGTATCTGTGACATTCTGTGTGTCCTGTGTGTCTGTGATTTACTGCCTCTCCTGCGTCTATGGTACTTTGATTTATTAACACTTCCAGGGAGAAGCCTATAGCCTCTTTGACATGATAGATGAGTCTTATTCATTGTGACTTATGCAAAGAATAACTAAAATTTGGTATATGATGCTGAATATTTTTTATATTCCAGGAAATATAATGTCTATCTCCATTTCCTGAGTCATTTTGGGGTTATTTTGTTGTTGTTGTTGTTCATTGGTTTTTCAAAATTCTTTTTGAATTTTCTTAAGTTGAAGTCTCTGAGCTGTGTGAGTAATACCTCATAGATGAAGTCTGTGCCTCCCTTGTCCGAGGCTGTATGCTCAACTCCTAGCAAAATACGTAGCGAACTCATGGATGGGATGTGGGGAGCAATGTCAGGGGCTTCGTTAAACCCACCTTCAAAAGCTAATGAACTGAACTAGGGCTTTTGTTGATATGCTCTTCGTTAGTGTTAGTTTGCGTTGTATTAGTCAACATTTCACAACTCATTACCTCATGTAAACTGGACTTCAACCACAAAGGGGCGCTATAATACCGTGTCATAGATCAGACCTTTCGATCACTGCCACAGGCGGTTGAGAATCAGGGCCTCCATAGGCCTTGCTTCTCTGTGCTCAGTCTAGTCTGTGTCGCAGGGAGTGGGCCAGATCCAGAGGCTCACACTGAGAGAGCGTCCATGTTCAGTGACAGGTTAGGGGGCAAAGGAAAGAATCCGTGTCGCCGTTGTCATTCATGGTTTGGGGTGTCACCTCATTGACAGAACTGCATTTCCATCTCTGCTCCAGGGGACATGATTTATGGCCGTGTCATGGTGGACCCTGTCCAGAACCTGGGTGACTCCTTTTACTGCAGCATTGAGAAGGTGTTCCTGTGCACAGGGGATGACGGCTACGTGCCAAAGTACAGCCCCGAGAATTCAGAATACGGCTGCCTGGCTGACTCTCCTTCGCTCTTGCACAGATTTAAAATTGTGGTAAGTGCTTTGACCCTGGCGAACTGTATCAAGTGTCAAAGATGAGGCTTCTCAAGCTTAGCTTATATTTTGAAGCAATATCATCATTTTATTTAAATTACATAGTGACATTTCGTGGTGATTTGTTCTTGCCCAGCGTTACTGGAGAATGTTCCATCCTTGCAAACTTGGCACTGGCTACAGAAATAATTATCTTCCTTCTTGCTTCCAGGATAAGGCTCAGCCTGAGACTCAGGCTACCAGTTTTGGAGACGTCTTGTTTAATGCCAAACTGGCAGTGGATGACCCTGAAGCCGTCCTCCTAGTAAATCAGCCTGGATCAGATGGCTTTAGAGTGGACTCAACACCACTCTTTCAGGTAGGTGTGTCTGGGCCTACTTATGGCAGCTATGTAACTGGTAAGTACTTAACACTCTGTCTCAGGCATCACATAGAGAAATGAAAATAAGAGCAGTCATGCATATAGTGAATGGGAAGACTGGGAATGCTTAGGTTCTGCCTATTATTGTCTTATTAGTGCCTACGGTTAAGAGCACTGGCCACTCTTGCAGAGGACCTGGGTTCAGTTCCCAGCACTCACACATCAGTTCACAACCATATATACATACATATATATATACATACATGCATGTATGTATACATGTGTGTATATGTGTATATATATATATGTATATATATATCCAGCTCCAGAGAATCCAAATCCTTCTTCCGTCCTCCTCATGCATGTGGTACATAAACATACATATACATGCAGGCAAATACCCATCCACACCACATAAAATAAAAACAAATAAACCTTTTTTTTTTTTTCAAAAGAATGTGTAATGAAGATTCTTATTCAACTTATCATACACATCTGACAGTTGGGCAGTTTACTTTTCTTAGTCCTGTGTTTTTATGTTCCATCTTATTGGAGTAAGGGCTTATTGATAGGCTCAGAAAAGCCATCATGAACAGAAAATAAAGTCTTCACTCTTGGAGAGTCCATAGACCAAGACTGAAAATCCTGACCCAAAGACAGAATGAGTAGAGAGATGCAGGTAGTTATGACGATGCCAGACAGCCATGGGTGCAGCACCTAGAACAAATGGGCCTGTGTCGTGGGCAAGGGTGTTCTTCAGGAGAGTTCCAGGGGAGTTACACAAGCAGGACTTTATACACACAGGGGAGATGTGTTATTCTCTCTCAGCCTCAGGAAAAATGTACACATGCATGCATGGGCGTGCACATGGTAGGGGTGGGATGTATACGTGTGGGGGTGGGGTGTATACGTGTGGGGGTGGGGTGTGTACATGTGGGGGTGTGGGGTGTGTGCATACTAGGGGGAGGAAGAGAGAGCACATATGCCCACAATACGGGGTATGTGCACATGCATACACATGAATGTGGAGGTCAGAGAACACTCTGGCCTCTCTTCTCAGCAACTGTCCACCTTATTTGTGAGTCAAGTCCCTCACTGTCCCAGAGCTCACCAAGAAAGCCAGACTGGCTGGCAAGCAAGCCCCAAGGGTCTAATACTTTTCCCTCTTCCTGTTATGGGGACTACAGGTGTGGGCCACTGTGCCCAGGTGTGGGCCACCATGCCCAGGTGACTTCTCAGGTATGAGCCACCATGCCCAGGTGTGAGTCACCATGCCCAGGTGTGAGTCATAGTGCCCAGGTGTGGGCCACCATGCCCAGCTTTTTTATTTAGGTTTTGGAGTTCACTTTACCAACTGAGCCATCTCCAAGGAAGGACTGTGAGAAAGCCTGTTTCTTCATCTGATTCTTCTCAAACTAGTATACTACCATTTTCATCCTGAAGTCTCAAAGCAGCTCACTTCCCTAAATCTTGAATGCCCCCAAAGAATTATTCTAAAAACCTTCCTTTTCCGGGTACTTTAAAAAATAAAAAATAAAAATAAAAGCTTAAAAACTGATTTGCCAGCAGGGCATGGTGGCTCACTCCTTTTATCCCAACACACAGGAGGCAGAGGCTGGCGCATTTCCGTGAGTTCCAGGCCAGCCTCGTCTACAGAGTGAACACTTCTGGGCTCTCCAGGGCTAAACAGTGAGGCTCTGTCCCACAAAAGAAACTAAGAGAAACCTGATTTCCCAACCCCCATAGTTTTGCAGGCAAAGAAGTCACAGCAGATGGGGCTGAGGCTTGCGCTGTGGTTCTAACTGTAGCACTAAGTAGGTGAAAGAGGCGGACAAAACACCAAACTGTGTGTGTCCTCATTCACCTGTATTTTAATTAACACGATAGACTGAGAGATCATAGTGTTTACTGTGACTGTAAATACAGTCCATGGTCACCTAAGAGGGGTACAGGATGCTCGGGGGCCATAAGGCAATGATATAGCACTTGTTTAGCATATATAACAGGCCTGAGACTGAACCCCCAAACTGCAAAATAAAGAGGTGTGGGAGTCACACGGTGTATATTATGGAGTTGAGGTGCTTTATCCAAAGCCTGTCACTGAAGAGTATGGTGTAAGTTAATTTCCAGACAAAATGTCATTTCTCATGACTTCTGTCTTAATTTCTCTTGCAGATAGTCCTGAATTGGGGCTACACAGAATTTTAAGTGTCCTAACACGTAGGGTTATGTTTCCTAGGTTGCTTTGGGCCGAGAATGGTACATCCACACAATCTACACCGTCAAGTCCAAGGACAGCAGCCATCGAGGAATTGGCAAGAGGAGCCTGGAGTACCAGTACCACTCCGTGCTGCATCAGGGACAGCCCCAGGCACCTACCAAGAGCTGGAAGAAAAGAGCCATCAGGAGCACACCCTTGCTGGCTCGGGAAATAGGGGCTGAGAACAATCGGGGAACAAACCTCCAGCACATCTCCCTGGACCGCCGTGACAAGAGGCCGGTCCCCCGTGGAAGAACTCCTCCTGATGGCATCCTGCCCCGGGAGCTCAATAGTCCCAGTTCTGAGGTCAGCCTTATCACTGTCTTGGGAGGCACTGCGGTGGGATTGCTCGCTGTCTGCCTGGCTGTGTTTGCAGCCGTCATGTGCAAGAACAAGAGCAGCAAGGGCAAGGATGCTCCACGGGGCTCTGGAAGCAGTGAGCCCATGGTGCCCCCACGGAACCACTACAGCGACAGCTCGGAGGTGTGATAGCGTTCTCTTCCTGCACCTCAGAAAAGACTGTGCAAAAGCCCCAACTGTCTGGGACCAGCGGCAGAGAATTGGGGACTTCTGCGACAAAGGTGCTCAGTGACCCTGACTGTATTAAAAGGTTTTGATTTAAACTCCACTGCTTCATACATGCATCAAAGGACAAATTCAGGCCACATCTTTCCTGCCCCCCTGCCCCCAGAGGAGGCATCCAGGATGCTTAGAGCCCTGGATGGCTGTCAGGGGAGGTGCTTTTCTTGTAGGCATCAGAGGAAATGAACCTTCTCAGAGATGCTCAACGGTGCTAAAGGACTCTGCGAAGTCTGAGAGAAGCTGGCTATTCCTCTGTTGTCACATTGGTGTGAGCTCTGAGGGCGCATTTGTCACATTGTTCATTGTATAACTGAAAGGTTTCCCGTGGTAGTTCAGAAGGGTGATGAACACACTGTTTGACAAGTTTTCCAGTCTGTGAAGACAGCATGAAGTCGTGACCAGGGCTAGCTCAACCCACAAATCACCTCTTACTGCTGGGAAAGCATTGGAATGGATAGGGAGAAGGAAAACGCCTCACTTGGCTCTGAACTGCTTCTCATTCTCCTCCGACCTCATTTGTCTTTATTTGATTATTTAACGTTAAGTTAAACCAAAGAGTATGTTCATTCTGGAAACGAGTTTTAAGAGACTGGTATGTTTGGTATGTAGCAGTGCCCACGTTCTTGCTAATCAGCCTCACTGGTGCCCAGCCGTAGAATGCGGAGTTAGAGAGTTGTCAACTTGATGGCAAAGAGATGCCGTAGAGTTAGATTCACCACAGGACAAGGTTCTTAAGAACTGAGCCTAGATGTTTGCAGTACTGAACCCATAAATCACGAGAAACACCTTTACCAACGGTGAAGGGAGAAAGTCGTACTGATTTCCACGCTGTGTACAGCCAGAATGCCTCTCAGGCACGCTGTCAAGAGCAGGGATGGCAAGTGATGCTAGCCCTCAGAGCCACACCCACACGGCAACATCCAGCACGTGGATCAGCCATAGAAAGTTGAATTAAGTTTATATCCGTCTAAATAATTGGAATCTCTATGCATGTCACTCGGGAAATTGTCTGGGAGGTGGCCAGGACTGTCAATCATACAAGAGGAGAACACACCTGTCTGGCCTCTTCAGTTCAGGGAGCCGGTGCTATGAGATGCCCCTCTGTAATTTTTTTTTTTTTTTGAGACAGGGTTTCTCTGTACCTTTGGAGCCTGTCCTGGCACTAGCTCTTGTAGACCAGGCTGGCCTCGAACTCACAGAGATCCGCCTGCCTCTGCCTCCTGAGTGCTGGGATTAAAGGCGTGCGCCACCACCGCCCGGCTTCCTCCTGATTTTATCTGGGGTTTGTCACTGTGCAAAGACTCCTTGGCATTGCCTGTCTCTTCAGGAATGGGTCTCTACCCGACGTAGGATTTTCTTCTTAGAAGAGGGGCATTTCAGCTGAGTAATGGCCACTCCCCTAAAACCTGGTGAATATATGTCATACAGAGATTGAGTGCTTTTCCCCTTATAACCCTAACCCTCCAGTGCTGCACGGAGGGATTCACCCTTCAGCCGCACCCTGGTCAAGCTGGGCACCCTGGTAGCATGGAGATACATGGAAGGCAAACTTCATCTCTGTCGCTCCTGTATGTCTGTGGATGTCTGTGAGTAGCCATCAGTTGAGAAAGGGGGCTGCATTACCCCTTCAGTCTCTTCCAAGGGATGAGGTAGACTCTAGCGTACTTCTACTGGGGAGCTTTACAAGTTCAGAGGTTCCTTGCACCCCCAAGAGGACTCACGGGTACACAAAGAACTGGCCGCGCCGGGGGTCGGATCTTTTACTTCTGGCAGGTGCTCAGCTCCATGCTTGGCTACCTCGTAATTTGGGAATTCACGTGATGCCAACAGCGTAGGAATTTTGACTACTTAGCTTTGGGCCCAGCTTCTGAAGACTTCTCGAGCAACTATCAACTGTCTGTCACTAGCAGTTGAGAGCTTCCGAGCCTGACTACCCTGTGATCTTCAAGTCAGGAAGTGCATAGAGTAATTTACATCACATCATTATAACACGTGTTTTTGCTAGGCAGCTCCTATGCCAATTTCAATCAGCTGTACATTAGTCTCCTGAAGCTATTGTCTATAAATTAGGTGCTATATTAAATACAATTCCCAATAGGATAGATAAGTATGCTTTCTCTCTCCCCATCCCTTCCCTGTCTTCTTTTATTTGTATTTTTCATAATTTTAAAAATATCTATTTACTAAACATGGTGCTTAAAATGCAGTAATTGCTTTATAAAGGCTTTTCAGTAGGAAAAATGTTTTTTTTCTAAATAAAGTCCTCATTTCCAATGTTCATTAAAATATTCTGATATTTTGAGAACTAATACATGAAGTTACTTTCAGGAAGTCAGCAATTATAGTTCTTGATTTCCTCCAAACCTCCTGAGACAGACCAACATCTGGTTGATATTACACACTAAAAAACAAAAGTAAATGTTACCATGAGTGGTTCTTCTAAGCATACAGACAAGAAAACATTAAAATATGTGAGTAATAGGGTTGGAGAGATATCTCAGCATGGAAATACACACAATATAATATATACAATCTGTACTGGGGATTGTACTATGACTTACACGGACTAGGTGGCACCCCATCTCTGACCTACAGCCCTCAACCCTTTCTGAACCTTTTGCTTTGAGGCAGCCGAAAAGGTTGCCCTGGCTGGCTGGGAATTTGCTCTTTAGTTCAGGCTGGCCTGAACTTTCAGTCTTCCTGCCTCAGTCACTCAGTCACTCGTGTAGGGAGGCAGAAACCTGCGGCAGCATTGGCCTCTCTTCTAAGATTGATCATCCATTCTGAGCAATGGCTGGACACCAGGCTCCTCACCTTGTTTTTGGACAGCAGGTAATCAAATACAGCTCTGTCTTTGAAGAAATGGATCAAGATTAGCAGAATCTCCTCTAAACGAGAACACAAAGGTGTGTGTGTCTGTGACCCCCCAATGAAACCTCTTAGAATATCAGCATTAGGTTCTACTTTTTTAAGCTTAAAGATAATAGCCCTGTGAGTCGAGACTAGTATACAACTTGGCATTTGTAAACACTCCATGTCTACTCAAAATCAAGGGAACACCTGTGTGCAACAAAACAATTCCTTCAAGTCACCTTACTGTGAGTTCTTCCTCAGGGTAAAGTAGAACCTAATGCTGATATTTTAAGAGGTTTCATATATAAACGTGTACAGACAGGTGTGGCTCACACCTTTCATCTCAGCACCCAGGAGGCAGAGGCAGGTGAATCTTAATGAGTTTGAGAGTTTGAGGCCAGCCTCAACTTAATGAGTTCCAGGATAGCCAGGGTTATGTAGAGAGACCACATCAAAAATAAAAATTTTTAAAAATAAAATGTAAAAACGGCTTCATGCGGTGGTGCATGATTTTAATGCCACCCTGGGGAGGGAGAGGCAGGTGGATCTCCATAGTGACAAGCCAGAGTAACACAGAGAGATCCTGTCTCAAAACCAAAGCAAATCGTGTGTGAAAAGATTGCAGAGAGCCCCTTTTCACGCACAGGTGCTGGGGGTCAAACTCTTTCCAGGGGAGAAACAAAGTGGCGATCTCAGAATTGAACGCAGAATCATGGAGTTTAAGAGTTGAGAGTTCGTTTGGAAAAATCTGTTTGATGGTGACGTGGAAACGTCCAGTTCTTTGATAAAAAGAAAAGAAAGGGAATATTTATAATCATGCAAATGCTTTACAAATTGGAAATGACCTTGAAAGCAAACCAGGTGACCATCTTCTTGTATTCTTTCCTCTTTCAAACCTTGAAAGCGTCCACGAGACAAAGAATACGTAAGTTTTCACTGACTTACTACAAATGAATGGGTCCCGAATGCCTAGTGGTGCTCAGCTCTGTGTGTAATTAGAAAGAAACATTTAACTACTGCTATTAGAATGCTATTACAATGCTTGCACACACACACACACACACACACACACACACACACACACACACACACACATCTCAGTTCCAGGCAGAGAGAATTGCTAAATGCATTGTTCTCATCAAAATAACATGGGTGATTTTCATTTGTAAAAACCTATTGTGGGGGTTTCAGATAGTCATTCAAAGGCTAATGTATTTCCTGAAAATGTTTTCCTAGAACTGAATGACAGACATTTCAAGACAGACACAGCAGCTCACAGCCAAACCGCTGTGAGAGAGGGGAGGGTTCGCAGGGTTGAGTGGCTGCTTCCACTTTGATCAGAAATTAAAAGGAGAACCTGTTTTCCTTCTTTTTCCACCAGAAAGACCACAGAGAAGTCAGAGGGGGGGAGGAGATCTGATGCCCTAACCCAAGCAGATAAAATGATTCCTTTGCTTGCTGAAGAGCTGTGTTTTCTCCGTTTCTCCTGTCATAGGAGCGCGTTCAATTTCTTTTCTTTTGTGTGTTTTCTCAGGGTTACACTTTGCACCAACAAGAAACTACCCCTGTCCTGGCGTACCTCTCTCCTGCCACTGCCTCCCCTTTTCCTTTCCCGACCTCTTTCTTTAACAAAATGGCCTAGATTTTTCTGTGGTGTCTCTTTCCCATGTCTCTAGCAGCACCCTCCATTTCCTTGTGAAACCTGTAGCATTTCAGTGGGTAGTGAGTGTTCTAACCCGTCCTAATGCCACACCACAGGCCTGCTGCCACCTTCCTGTGTAAGATATTATAGGTTTAGATGGGGGAAAAGCCTTTCTGCCAAAGGAAAAGGACCATACTGAATGATAGGACAGTCAGGTACATCTCAATATTATCGTCTCAAGATAAATTTCATTAAGAATAAAAGTCAAAAACCACACATATAAAATCCATTAGACTAAATACTTTGTCGTGAGATCAGCAGTGAAGAATGTCAACAGCATTGAGGCTTTTAGAATTATAATTGTTAAACACCCGGTGTTCTTCTGCTATTAGCCAGACTTCTCTGACTGCGTTAGTGCTTCAGCAACCCAGGTCAAGTTCTACATGCATTTATATTTTCCAGGGCATGGACACTCCTCCACACTGTCAGTATTGTGCTCTAAAGAGACAGGAGAGAGAGAGAGAGAGAGAGAGAGAGAGAGAGAGAGAGAGAGAGAGAGAGAGAGATCGTAGATTTTTAACTAAAAACAGGAAGCATATAATAAAAATGACATTGTAGAAAGTTGGTCTTGGATTAGAATAAAACATCAATTCTGTATGGTAGCTCACATTGCCACACACAATGCTCAGCAGTCTTCTCCTGTGATGGGACTTTAAGCTTCCAGCAAGGTTTCTTTGGTTTGTCTTTTTGCTTTTTGTTTTTTGTTTTTCTTTTTTTTTTTTTTTTTTGGCCCATTTATGTATAAAACAAAGCTTTATCCTGGACAAGGACAGTGTTTTATAATTGTATCAAGGACGTCCTCCCCTCCAAGGTGACTTCCCCTATGTTAGCAAGCAAGTATTTATCTACCACTGAGAGGCACATCTGGGTCAGGGAATTATTTGCAGCCTTCCCTGTTTCCAGTGGGAATACTTCAGACGCTGACAGGGTCTCATTGTTTCGTGTCTTTGCTAAAGTACTGCATATTTGCTGGATATTAAAGTTTGTTCCTGAAAATCGAATTACGCAAATAGTTTGGAGCCATGTACTCTTAAACCCTTGTCTTAAATAACTCCTCCTGTTACTTGTACTATAGCCACACCTGTTCTGCTTCAGATTATATCATGTGCTTAATATAAATAAAAGTCTGTATCACTTGTGTTCAGACGACCAGTTTATTGCAATGTCTTTCTGTCGCTTTTGTTTGTACTGAAGTGAAAAAACTCCTGTAAGCTGCTAAGAATAGCGTTCTGGTTCTGGATCAGGGCTCACATATGCCTGTTGGTGGGTGTATGTCTTCCACTGTCTTTCTGAAACGGTAGCAAACATAGTCTGTCTCTTAGCAAGATAAACTCACAGGTCCAGGGTCTTGTCCACCAGCTCTAGCAAGATACAGCCAAAGGCCTCCCGGGCAATGTATGTTTCAATGAAACAAGTTTGAACTCGCCAAGCCTTTGTTGCAGGTGTTTATACCCTGCTGTGATTAGGAAACCTGACCTAGCTTTACTGATTAAGGGCAAATCCACCTCTCTGGTCTTTACTACCAGTGTAGACTGGGCACCCTTACCCAGCCATCATGTACATGAATGATATTTCTATTAGTGTAGATAAAACTTCTGGCCAAGAGAATAGAGTCTCTGGCCTGGACATAGCATTCCAGTTGGAGAAGATCAATCACTTTGCTAAGGGATCAGCCCTAGGAAGGTCAGCTCACCCTAAGCATTGCTAAAGAGATGGGTGGAATAATTAATCTTTTAACACGACATTACTCTCCTTCCCAGAACCCCTTCCCCAGTGCCAAAGCTTATGGGGCCACAGCCAAGTAAGAGTCATAAGTCTGCCCGCTTTAAGTCATAGGCAAGTGCGACTTCCTTCCTTCTGACTCTTTTCTGAGATGATTTTTCTTATTTTCAAATTTCCCCTCGACATGTCTGGCTAAATGAAGGGACTCTAGCCAGTCTTAGCATGGCAAAAGTGGCTCTGGCAGGCCTGCCCTTCTCTCCCATTCTCTCTGCCTTGCTAAAAAACCTTTAGATTGCATTCCTAAAAGTAGCCACCAAGGTCTGTTCCCTTATTTGGCCATTTCCTCCTCCTGAGGCTGACTACCAAGGTCTAGCTATCAAAGAACTGAAGTCCAGCAATCAAAAGCCCCCTTAGGCTCACCTAATTAATATGCTCAATTAAAATTAAACACCTCATCCTAACATGGGGTTTCCCCTTTTTCCTTTATAAACTGCCATTTGCCTATGGGCTGTGTCTGTCTCCTCTCTACCCAGAGACAGTCCTTCATCTAGCCCCGCTCAGACAAATGCCCTTTTGTTCCCCCTCCCCCTTGTCCCCCATTCCCTCTCTCCCTTGTCACCTTTTCCTCTCTCCCTTGTTCCCTTCTCATCTCCCTGGTTCTCTTTCTCCTGTTTTTGTCGCTTCTTTCCTTCACTCCATTCATAAATCTTGTTTGTGCCGAGAACTTGGTCCTGAGGGTCTTTAGCCCACTCCAAGGTTCCCTACACCAAAACCATCCTCCCTGCCTTGTGACTGCCTGCCCTCTGAGAGTCTATCTCCCATGCCACCTTAAACCGCATGGACTTTTCATTTCTCCATCCTACTTCTCTGGGCAGCAACTGAAGTTTACAGTTTATCTGCTCTGGGTTTGTTTGTTTGTTTGTTTGTTTGGGGGGGTGTTGTAAACTCTAATAAAATTGTCCTTGTGCTTCCATTAATTTCATCTAAAATTATGTTATTAATAAGACGAAGAGCCCTCAAAGAGGACCCTGATTTCCTCTATATCAAATAGCTTAACCTTTTAACATGAAGTCACCACTATTTAATAATAATAATAATAGTCATAATAATACCTGCAAGCATATGTTTCAAGTACCATAGTACAATTCTAAAAGTAGGGACCATGCTAAAGAAGGTGAAAGAGAAGAAAAGAAATTCACTGTGTTGTCAAAGCACCTTCAACATCTTAAAGATGAGGAACAAAACTGACCATCTGCCAGCGGAAAAGCTGTGGGCAACAGAAATGCTCGGTCAATCAGGCTTCTAGAAAGAGTGACAACCAGCCTTTGCAGTGGAAAATTCCCCACTGCGGAGGGAAGCCTGGCCTTCCAGACGGCAATGGAAGAAGACTGGAGAACAAGGAACCGACCAGAGAGGGACAGGAACCCAGAACCACTAGAACCAGAGAGCGACAGGAACCAAGAACCACCAGGACCAGAGAGAAACAGGAACCCAGAACCACCAGGACCAGAGAAGGACAGGAAACCAGAAGCGCCAGGACCCAGAGAGCCACAGGAACCCAGACGCAACAGTGTACCGAGAGTAGAAATGGGACCTCCCTGCTGTGAATTCACAATCACTGCAAAGACTCCCAAGTTTAAGAAAAACTCCAAGCCAAGGAGAGACACGTGACTAGAGGAGAAACTAGGGATGGATGGCGGTAGAAGGATGAGGTGCACGCGTGCCGCCAGCTCCCCCCTCGCTTCAACCAAGCCAGAATCCCGCCCCATCAGAAGCTTGCCGGTAATCTTTGACAACCACCCCTCCCTCACAACAACCCAAAGTGTATTTCAGTGTAAGGTGCCACCCACAATGTAAATGCGACAAGCTGGAAAAACAGCAAAAACGGTGATTAAACAGTGGAGGGTTAAACCCCCAAGAAAGTAGAGCAGGACAGAGATGTATCCGGGGCAGGGTC